TCAAGTATAAAAGAATGCGCAAGTCTTTAAACAAAATGGGTATTAGTTTATTGTAAGTATGTTTGGTAACAATATAATCAATTGATAAATGTAGCATATTTACGTTTCGGAACGTTGAGTCACTGCCCAATTATACAAGACATCTTCTACAAATCTGCCTGAAGGAAGCTTCCATTTGTCATCCATACTTATCGTTTCAAACCTCAACTTAAAACCTTCAATCAATTTTTTCTCTAATTTCTTTCTCTTTCTGGTCTTTTCATCCTCGTCACCATTTTTGTCATCATATTCATCGTCATCCTCGTAGTTATCTTCGTCGTCATCTTCATTGATCTCTTCTTCTTCATTGCAAAACTAGATATTGAAAAATTAGAGATAGTTGAAATAGGAAATATTGCCTAACAGCATATTACATACCTCAGAATCTTCATCTGATATTTCCCTATGAGTCCGCTTGCTGATATTATTCACTCTGTTTACTTTGTTTGAATTTTCAGCATAATTTATTCTGTTTATTTCTCTCAATGTTCTTCTGAGAAGTGGATTTTCTTGTTCATTAATGATTCCAACTTTCCCCCCACTCATTGTTCCGTTAACTGTGTTAATTGTTCCATTTACAGTTCCGTTTATTGGCTGGTGTAGGTGAACTTGTTTACGTGTATGCTCATTTTCCCATGACTTTGCGATTTTATAATCTGGTCTAGGATTCTAGCATAGAAGATTTGAAAATTAGTAAAATTTTTGTTCATATTTATTTCAGTTTCTAACCCATTTGAGTATCAGGTAGCCAAGGAGGACACCTGATCCCAATGGGTCCAGTGTTAGATCAGCAAAGAGCCTTGAACATCAAATAACCAAAGAGGTTATTTGTGCTCTAACACTGGTTTGTAGCTTAGCAAAGAGCCTTGAATGACGAAAGGCCAAAGAAGCCTACGATCGTCATGCCACTATTTTTAAAAAAAAGTCATTACATGCCTTTCGATACCTATCAAGAAGTTGGCTTGCTTTTTTTTGTCTCATTCCTTTCTCGTTATTAATCTTTTCAAGGCTTTTAAGGTATTCATCTATTTTTCTATCAAAAGGTTCTAAATCACATTCATTTAAAAATCCATTTACTGTATTTGTGATTGAAATATTTATTTATTTTTGACATGTTGACATGTGGAAAATTTATCAAATTTTAAGATAGCAGGTAGTGGAAAAAAAAGTTGTTATTTGATCAGCGTACGCGTACACACTTTTTATTACACGCGTGTGTATGTTGCACAAATAAGCCCTATTAGTCAAATTAAATGTCAATCTAAAATTTCTTTTCTTATTAAAGTCTAACTTTTTGCACACATTTTGATGACCATTAAAATTTATTCAAACTATCGAAGAAAATGGTATTTATTTTCCTTTTAAAAATTTTTGCTTTTTATTAGGTAATAATGCATCATCATGATGTTTTCTCTTTCTAACACTTATTATTTTTCTTTCTTCATGGTAAATTTCATAGGTAATCCTTTCTTTTTTTAGATAAACTTCCAGTGTCTGAGTATCATTTATTTTGAAAATGTAAGGAGCGATTTTTTCACCTTGTTCCTTTTTCAAAATACTTCTAAAGGTGCTGTAATTATTGGGTTCCATAGTAGAGATCTGATATAAATTAGCTTCATATTAACTATTTTTATATAGAGATAATTCTATATATCACCTAATATTAAGAGGATAACAAATGGAAGATTTTAATAATCACATTACTAAATTTTGATCCCTGAAATTTTTGGCAACACTAATGTTCACTTTGTCTGGTTTTGTTGCAGTATGCCCCATATAATAAAACCAAGATTGTCTTTTATAATTTTTTCTTTCAAAAGTTGCTCACATAGCCAATCGATGGCTACATCTCTGGAATCATTTTTACCCATTTTGATTGCTTTCCTAAAAATATAAACAGGTTTATCACCCAATACTATTTTTGGAAGTGTTGATGTTTGTTGTAGATGCAGTTCTAGTACTGGTGACAACAAGCATATACTACAAACCCTTCCTCCTATTTAAATGCACTGGAACATACATTAGCGCAACACACAAAAAGGATAGTAAATTGGATATGGGGCATACTGCAACAAAACCAGACAAAGTGAACATTGATATTACCAAAGATTTCAGGGATTAAAATTTAGTCATTTCATAATGTGATTATAATTATTAACAGTTTTATAATATCCCATTTGTTATCTTAAGTGATATATAGAATTAACCATATATAAAAATAGTTAATATGAAACTCATTTACATTAGGTCTACCATGGAACCCAAGAATTATAGTACTATCAGAAGTATTTTGAAAAAGGAACAAGGTGAAAAATTGCTCCTTATATTTTCAAAACAAATGATACTCAAGACACTGGAAGCATATCTAAGAAAAGAAAAAATTACCTATGAAATTTACCAAGAAGAAAGAAAAATAATCAATGTCAGAAAAAGAAAGCATCACGATGATGCATTGTTACCTAATAAAAAGCAAAAATCCTTAATTGGTGATATGTGAATAAATCAAAGATCTGCATTTTTAATAGTAAATGTTGGTGCAAAAATTGCCAATTGTCGACCTTTACACAAAAAATTGTATTATTTTTGTACCACAGGATGATATTACTTTTATGCATATTTTGTGTGATAAATAAAGATTTTATATGTAGGAAACACAGATTTGAGGGTCTCTCTGATTCATTCACAGATCAGCAATTAAAAGGAAAATAATCTATCTTATTATTATAATAAAAATACATATATGTTCCCGAAAAATGAAATAAAAATAATAATAATGATAATAAATAATAAAAAGGAAATTATATTCATAACATTTTTAATGTTGAAACATTATAAAAACATCACTGATTCAATTAAAAAATAATAATTTATTACACTTGTTTTCCTGTAGAGTTTTTAATTAATCCAAAGCTACCATCACATTTGAATTCAGTATGCCCTGGAATCATGAAATTTAATTCAATACTTTCATAATAACCCTAAATTACCAAATATAAATAAAATCAAATGGTTACATTATTTTTATTTTGTCCCCCAGCATTATCACAAGTAATCTTTAAATGCTTTTCACCTTTATTCAATTTCTTAGTTCCATCAAAAATCATACTGAGTGTACCATTGGGACCTTTACCTATAATTTCATTTTCATCAAGAATGTATTAATTTGTTCCCTTATTGCTTCATCTTGAATACCAAATAAATGGAATTTACATGGACTAAGGTAATAAATCCTACTTACCTGTTGATCTGAATGGGGCACATGAACATTATGGGCTCAATCATAACTATAATGAGCAGTAGCATCAATACTGCAATATGAGGTTTTACCTTGGGAATAATTTTGATTAATTAATTTTCTTTGCTCTTCTGCTAATTTGGTATTTTTATTGTAATAATTTCTTTCTACTTTGGGCTTGGACAGATGTTCTTTAAATCTTTTAAGTAAATCTTTGACTTCTTCTTGACAAGCATTATAATGTAAACCATCTCTAAAACGTTGACTAGTATCTAAGGTTGCGGGAGAAACTCCTCCAGAAATCAATCGACAGAGTTTCGACAGGTTACACATTAATTGTTTATTAG